GCATACCCAGAACCTCAGCACAGGGATGGTGGGAACCCCTAGTAATGGGCGCAGCAGGTGTGCAGACCTGGGACCTCAGCACAGGGATGGTAGAAACCCCTCATAATGGGAACAGCAGGTGTACAGACCCAGGAATTTAGCACAGGGATGGTGGGAACTCCTCCTAATGGGCAGAGCAGGTGTACAGACCCAGGAACTCAGCACAGGGATGGTGGGAACTTCTCATAATGGGCGCAGCAGGTGTGCAGACCTGGAACCTCAGCACAGGGATGGTGGGAACCCCTAATAATGGGTAAAGCAGGTGGGCAGACCCGGAATCTCAGCACATGGATGGTAGGAACCCCTCATAATGGGCACAGCAGGTGTGCATACCCAGAACCTCAGCACAGGGATGGTGGGAACCCCTAGTAATGGGCGCAGCAGGTGTGCAGACCTGGGACCTCAGCACAGGGATGGTAGAAACCCCTCATAATGGGAACAGCAGGTGTGTACAGACCCAGGAATTTAGCACAGGGATGGTGGGAACTCCTCCTAATGGGCACTCAGCAGGTGGTGACAGACCCCTAGGAACTCAGCACAGCAGGTGTGCAGGGAACCTCAGCACAGGATGGGGGAACCCCTCATAATGGGCGCAGCAGGTGTGCAGACCCCAGAACCTCAGCACAGGGATGGTGGGGGAACCCCTAATGGGCAAGCAGGTGTGCAGACCCGGAATCTCAGCACAGGTGGTTCCCCTCATTGGGCACAGCAGGTGTGCATACCTTCTTCTTGGGAACCTTCTTCTTTCATTCCTTTCTTCTTTCATTCTTCTTTTCATTCTTCTTCTTCTTCATTCTTCTTCTTCTTTTCATTCTTCTTCTTCTTCTTTCTTCTTTCTTCTTCTTCTTCTTTTTCTTCTTTTTCATTCTTCTTCTCATTCTTTTCATTCTTTTCTTCTTCTTCTTTTCATTCTTCATTCTTCATTCTTCTTCATTTTTCTTCTTCATTCTTCTTCTTTTCTTCTTTTCTTCTTCTTCTTTTCTTTCTTCTTTTCATTCTTCTTCTTCTTCTTTTCATTCTTCTTCATTCTTCTTTTTCATTCTCTTCTCTTCTTCATTCTTCTTCTTCATTCTTCTTCTTCTCATTCTTCTTCTTCTTCTTCATTCTTCTTCTTCTTTTCATTCTTCTTCATCTTCTTCTCATTCTTTCTTCATTCTTCTTCTCATTCTTCTTTTCTTCTTCTTCTTCTTCTTCTTCTTTCTTCTTTTCATTCTTCTTCTTCTTCTTCTTCTTCTTCTTTCTTTTCATTCTTCTTCTCTTTTCATTCTTCTTCTTCTTCTTTTTCTTCTTCTTCTTCTTCTTTTCTTCTTCATTCTTCTTCTTCTTCTTCTTCATTCATTCTTCTTCATTCTTCTTCAGCACTTCTTTTTTCTTCTTCTTCTTTCTTTTCTTCTTCAGGTTTTTCATTCTTCATTCTTCTTCAGCACAGGGATTCTTCTTTCTTTTCATTCTTCTTCTTCTTCTTTTCATGTACAGACCCAGGAATTTAGCACAGGGATGGTGGGAACTCCTCCTAATGGGCAGAGCAGGTGTACAGACCCAGGAACTCAGCACAGGGATGGTGGGAACTTCTCATAATGGGCGCAGCAGGTGTGCCGACCTGGAACCTCAGCACATGGATGGTAGGAACCCCTCATAATGGGCACAGCAGGTGTGCATACCCAGAACCTCAGCACATGGATGGTAGGAACCCCTCAAATGGGCACAGCAGGTGTGCATACCCAGAACCTCAGCACAGGGATGGTGGGAACCCCTAGTAATGGGCAGCAGCAGGTGTGCAGACCTGGGACCTCAGCACAGGGATGGTAGAAACCCCTCATAATGGGAACAGCAGGTGTACAGACCCAGGAATTTAGCACAGGGATGGTGGGAACTCCTCCTAATGGGCAGAGCAGGTGTACAGACCCAGGAACTCAGCACAGGGATGGTGGGAACTTCTCATAATGGGCGCAGCAGGTGTGCAGACCTGGAACCTCAGCACAGGGATGGTGGTGGGAACCCCTAATAATGGGCGCAAAGCAGGTGGCAGACCCGGAACCTCAGCACATGGATGGTAGGAACCCCTCATAATGGGCACAGCAGGTGTGCATACCCAGAACCTCAGCACAGGGATGGTGGGAACCCCTAGTAATGGGCGCAGCAGGTGTGCAGACCTGGGACCTCAGCAGCACAGGGATGGTAGAAACCCCTCATAATGGGAACAGCAGGTGTACAGACCCAGGAATTTAGCACAGGGATGGTGGGAACTCCTCCTAATGGGCGAGCAGGTGTACAGACCCAGGAACTCAGCACAGGGATGGTGGGAACTTCTCATAATGGGCGCAGCAGGTGTGCAGACCTGGAACCTCAGCACAGGGATGGTGGGAACCCCTAATAATGGGTAAAGCAGGTGGGCAGACCCGGAATCTCAGCACATGGATGGTAGGAACCCCTCATAATGGGCACAGCAGGTGTGCATACCCAGAACCTCAGCACAGGGATGGTGGGAACCCCTAGTAATGGGCGCAGCAGGTGTTCTTCAGACCTTTCAGCACAGGGATGGTCATTCCCTCTTGGGCGCAGCAGGTTCTTCTCATTCTTCTTTTCATTCTTTTGGTCTTCTTCTTCTTCATTCTTCTTCTTCTTCTTTTCTTCTTTCTTCTTCATTCTTCTTCTTCTTCTTCTTCTTCTTTCATTCTTCTTCATTCTTTCATTTTTTTCATTCTTTTTTCTTCTTTTCATTCTTCTTCTTCTTCATTCTTCTTCTTTTTCTTCTTCTTCATTCTTCTTCATTCTTCTTCTTCATTCTTCTTCTTCTTCTTCTTCTTCTTCTTCTTCTTCTTCATTCTTCTTCATTCTTTTTTCATTCATCTTCATTCTTCTCATTTTCATCTTCTTCTTTCTTCTTCTTTCTTCTTCTTCATTCTTCTTCTTCATCATTCTTTCTTTTCATTCTTCTTCTTTCTTTTCATTCTTCTCTTCTTTTTTTCTTCTTCTTCTTCTTTTCATTCTTCTTCTTCTTCTTCTTCACTTCTTTTCTTCTTCTTCATTCTTCTTCTTCTTCTTTTCTTCTTCTTCTTCATTCTTCTTTCTTCTTCTTCTTCTTCTTCTTCTTTTTCAGCTTCATTCTTCTTCTTCTTCTTCTTCTTCTTCTTCTTTTCATTCTTCTTCTTCTTCTTTTTCATTCTTCTTCTTCTTCTTTTCATTCAGACCCAGGAATTTAGCACAGGGATGGTGGGAACCCTCTTCTCACAATGGGCTTCTCAGAGGGCAGCAGGTGTGTACAGACCCAGGAATTTCAGCACAGGGATGGTGGGAACTTCTCATAATGGGCGCAGCAGGTGTGCAGACCCAGGAACTCAGCACAGGGATGGTGGGAACCCCCCATAATGGGCAGCAGGTGTGCATACCCAGAACCTCAGCACATGGATGGTAGGAACCCCTCATAATGGGCACAGCAGGTGTGCATACCCAGAACCTCAGCACAGGGATGGTGGGAACCCCTAGTAATGGGCGCAGCAGGTGTGCAGACCTGGGACCTCAGCACAGGGATGGTAGAAACCCCTCATAATGGGAACAGCAGGTGTACAGACCCAGGAATTTAGCACAGGGATGGTGGGAACTCCTCCTAATGGGCAGAGCAGGTGTACAGACCCAGGAACTCAGCACAGGGATGGTGGGAACTTCTCATAATGGGCGCAGCAGGTGTGCAGACCTGGAACCTCAGCACAGGGATGGTGGGAACCCCTAATAATGGGTAAAGCAGGTGGGCAGACCCGGAATCTCAGCACATGGATGGTAGGAACCCCTCATAATGGGCACAGCAGGTGTGCATACCCAGAACCTCAGCACAGGGATGGTGGGGGAACCCCTAGTAATGGCGCAGCAGGTGTGTGTGCAGACCTGGGACCTCAGCACAGGGATGGTAGAAACCCCTCATAATGGGAACAGCAGGTGTACAGTCCCAGGAATTTAGCACAGGGATGGTGGGAACTCCTCCTAATGGGCAGAGCAGGTGTACAGACCCAGGAACTCAGCACAGGGATGGTGGGAACTTCTCATAATGGGCGCAGCAGGTGTGCAGACCTGGAACCTCAGCACAGGGATGGTGGGAACCCCTAATAATGGGCAAAGCAGGTGGGCAGACCCAGAACCTCAGCACAGGGATGGTGGGAACCCCTCATAATGGGCACAGCAGGTGTGCAGACCCAGGGACCTCAGCACAGGGATGGTGGGAACCCCTCATAATGGGCGCAGCAGGTGTACAGACCCAGGACCTCAGCACAGGGATGGTGGGAACTCCCCTCATAATGGGCACAGCAGGTGTACAGACCCAGGAATTTAGCACAGGGATGGTGGGAACTTCTCATAATGGGCGCAGAAGGTGTACAGACCCAGGAACTCAGCACAGGGATGGTGGGAACTTCTAATAATGGGCGCAGCAGGTGTGCAGACCTGGAACCTCAGCACATGGATGGTAGGAACCCCTCATAATGGGCACAGCAGGTGTGCATACCCAGAACCTCAGCACAGGGATGGTGGGAACCCCTAGTAATGGGCGCAGCAGGTGTGCAGACCTGGGACCTCAGCACAGGGATGGTAGAAACCCCTCATAATTCTTCTCAGCAGGTGTTCAGACCCTTCTTCTTCTTCAGGGATGGTTCTTCTTCTTCTTCTTCTTCTTCTTCTTCAGGTGTTTCTTCTTCTTTGGTTTCATTCTTCTTCTTCTTCTTCTTCTTCTTTCTTCTTCTTCATTCTTCTTTTCTATTCTTCTTCTTTCTTCTTCTTTTCATTCTTTCTTTCTTCACATTCTTCTTCTTCTTCTTCATTCTTTCTTCTTCTTTTTGTTTTCTTCTTCTTCTTCTTCATTCTTCTTTTTCTTCTTCATTCTTCTTCTTTTCTTCTTCTTCTTCTTTCTTCTCATTTCTTCTTTTCATTCATTCTTCATTTTCTTCTTCTTCTTCTTTTTCATTCTCTTCTTCTTCTTCTTCATTCTTCTTCTTCATTCTTCTTCTTCATTCTTCTTTCTTTTCTTCTTCTTCTTCTTCTTTTCTTCTTCTTCATTCTTCTTCTCTTCTTCTTCTTCTTCTTCTTCTTCTTCTTCTTCTTTTCATTCTTCTTCAGGTTCTTCTTTTCATTCTTCTTTCTTCTTCTCTTCTTTTTCTTTCTTCTTCTTCTTTTCATTCTTCTTTCTTCTTCTTCTTCTTTCTTTCTTCTTCTTCTTCTTCTTCTTCTTCTTCTTCTTCTTCTTTCTCTTCATTCTTCTTTCTTCTTTTTCATTCTTCTTCACAGGGATTCTTCTTCTTCTTCTTCTTCTTCTTCTTCTTCTTCTTTCTTCTTCTTCTTCATTCTTCTTCTTCTTCTTCATTCAGACCTTCTTCTTCTTCTTCTTTTCAGGGATTCTTCTTCTTCTTTCTTCTTCTTCATTCTTCTTTTCATGTACAGACTTCTTCTTCTTTTCAGGGGGTGGTCTTCTTCTAATGGGCTTTTCAGGTGTACAGACCCAGGAACTCAGCACAGGGATGGTGGGAACTCCTCCTAATGGGCAGAGCAGGTACAGACCCAGGAACTTTCTCATAATGGGCGCAGCAGGTGTGCACCCCAGAACCTCAGCACATGGATGGTAGGAACCCCTCATAATGGGCACAGCAGGTGTGCATACCCAGAACCTCAGCACAGGGATGGTGGGAACCCCTAGTAATGGGCGCAGCAGGTGTGCAGACCTGGGACCTCAGCACAGGGATGGTAGAAACCCCTCATAATGGGAACAGCAGGTGTACAGACCCAGGAATTTAGCACAGGGATGGTGGGAACTCCTCCTAATGGGCAGAGCAGGTGTACAGACCCAGGAACTCAGCACAGGGATGGTGGGAACTTCTCATAATGGGCGCAGCAGGTGTGCAGACCTGGAACCTCAGCACAGGGATGGTGGGAACCCCTAATAATGGGTAAAGCAGGTGGGCAGACCCGGAATCTCAGCACATGGATGGTAGGAACCCCTCATAATGGGCACAGCAGGTGTGCATACCCAGAACCTCAGCACAGGGATGGTGGGAACCCCTAGTAATGGGCGCAGCAGGTGTGCAGACCTGGGACCTCAGCACAGGGATGGTAGAAACCCCTCATAATGGGAACAGCAGGTGTACAGACCAGGAATTTAGCACAGGGATGGTGGGAACTCCTCCTAATGGGCAGAGCAGGTGTACAGACCCAGGAACTCAGCACAGGGATGGTGGGAACTTCTCATAATGGGCGCAGCAGGTGTGCAGACCTGGAACCTCAGCACATGGATGGTAGGAACCCCTCATAATGGGCACAGCAGGTGTGCATACCCAGAACCTCAGCACAGGGATGGTGGGAACCCCTAGTAATGGGCGCAGCAGGTGTGCAGACCTGGGACCTCAGCACAGGGATGGTAGAAACCCCTCATAATGGGAACAGCAGGTGTACAGACCCAGGAATTTAGCACAGGGATGGTGGGAACTCTCCTAATGGGCAGAGCAGGTGTACAGACCCAGGAACTCAGCACAGGGATGGTGGGAACTTCTCATAATGGGCGCAGCAGGTGTGCAGACCTGGAACCTCAGCACAGGGATGGTGGGAACCCCTAATAATGGGCGCAAAGCAGGTGTGCAGACCCGGAACTCAGCACATGGATGGTAGGAACCCCTCATAATGGGCACAGCAGGTGTGCATACCCAGAACCTCAGCACAGGGATGGTGGGAACCCCTAGTAATGGGCGCAGCAGGTGTGCAGACCTGGGACCTCAGCACAGGGATGGTAGAAAAACCCCTCATAATGGGAACAGCAGGTGTACAGACCCAGGAATTTAGCACAGGGATGGTGGGGGAACTCCTCCTAATGGGCAGAGCAGGTGTACAGACCCAGGAACTCAGCACAGGGATGGTGGGAACTTCTCATAATGGGCGCAGCAGGTGTGCAGACCTGGAACCTCAGCACAGGGATGGTGGGAACCCCTAATAATGGGTAAAGCAGGTGGGCAGACCCGGAATCTCAGCACATGGATGGTAGGAGGAACCCCTCATAATGGGCACAGCAGGTGTGCATACCCAGAACCTCAGCACAGGGATGGTGGGAACCCCTAGTAATGGGCGCAGCAGGTGTTCTTCTCATTCTTCTTTTCATTCTTCTTCTTTTCTTCTTCTTCATTCTTCATTCTTCTTTTCTTCTTCTTTTCTTCTTTCTTCTTCTTCTTTCTTCTTTCTTCTTCTTCATTCTTCTTCATCTTCTTCTTCTTCTTCTTCTTCTTCTTCTCATTCTTCTTCTTTTCTTTTCTTCTTCTTCTTCTTCTTCTTTCTTCTTTTCTTCTTCTTCTTCTTTTCTTTTTCTTCTTCTTTTCTTCTTCTTCTTCTTTTCATTCTTCTTCATTCTTCTTTTCATTCTTCTTCTTCATTCTTCATTCTTCTTCTTCAACTTCTTTCTTTCTTCTCATTCTTCATTCTTCTTCTTCTTCAGCACATTCTTTCTTTCTTCATCTTCTTCTTCATTTCTTCTTCTTCTTCTTCTTCTTCTTCTTCTTCTTCTTCTTCTTCTTCTTTCTTCTCATTCTTCTTCTTCTTCTTTTCATTCTTCTTCTTCTTCTTCTTCTTCTTCTTTTCATTCTTCTTCTTCTTCTTCTTCTTCTTCTTTCTTCTTTTTCTTCTTCTTCTTCTTCTTCTTTTCTTCTTCTCATTCTTTCTTCTTCTTCTTCTTCTTCTTTTCATTCTTCTTTCTTCTTTCTTCTTTCTTCTTCTTCTTCTTCTTCTTCTTTTTCATTCTTCTTCACAGGTGGTTTTTCATTACAGACCCAGGAATTTAGCACAGGGATGGTGGGAACTCCTCCTAATGGGCAGAGCAGGTGTACAGACCCAGGAACTCAGCACAGGGATGGTGGGAACTTCTCATAATGGGCGCAGCAGGTGTGACCTGGAACCTGGAACTCTCAGGGCACATGGATGGTAGGATGGTAGGAACCCCTCATAATGGGCACAGCAGGTGTGCATACCCAGAACCTCAGCACAGGGATGGTGGGAACCCCTAGTAATGGGCGCAGCAGGTGTGCAGACCTGGGACCTCAGCACAGGGATGGTAGAAAAACCCCATAAATGGGAACAGCAGGTGTACAGACCCAGGAATTTAGCACAGGGATGGTGGGAAACTCCTCCTAATGGGCAGAGCAGAGCAGGTGTACAGACCCAGGAACTCAGCACAGGGATGGTGGGAACTTCTCATAATGGGCGCAGCAGGTGTGCAGACCTGGAACCTCAGCACAGGGATGGTGGGAACCCCTAATAATGGGTAAAGCAGGTGGGCAGACCCGGAATCTCAGCACATGGATGGTAGGAACCCCTCATAATGGGCACAGCAGGTGTGCATACCCAGAACCTCAGCACAGGGATGGTGGGAACCCCTAGTAATGGGCGCAGCAGGTGTGCAGACCTGGGACCTCAGCACAGGGATGGTAGAAACCCCTCATAATGGGAACAGCAGGTGTACAGTCCCAGGAATTTAGCACAGGGATGGTGGGAACTCCTCCTAATGGGCAGAGCAGGTGTACAGACCCAGGAACTCAGCACAGGGATGGTGGGAACTTCTAATGGGCAGCAGGTGTACATCAACAGGGATGGTGGGAACTTCTCATAATGGGCGCAGCAGGTGTGCCGACCCTGAACCTCAGCACATGGATGGTAGGAACCCCTCATAATGGGCACAGCAGGTGTGCATACCCAGAACCTCAGCACAGGGATGGTGGGAACCCCTAGTAATGGGCGCAGCAGGTGTGCAGACCTGGGACCTCAGCACAGGGATGGTAGAAACCCCTCATAATGGGAACAGCAGGTGTACAGACCCAGGAATTTAGCACAGGGATGGTGGGAACTCCTCCTCCTAATGGGCAGAGCAGGTGTACAGACCCAGGAACTCAGCACAGGGATGGTGGGAACTTCTCATAATGGGCGCAGGTGTGTGCAGACCTGGAACTCAGCACAGGGATGGTGGGAACCCCTAATAATGGGTAAAGCAGGTGGGCAGACCCGGAATCTCAGCACATGGATGGTAGGAACCCCTCATAATGGGCACAGCAGGTGTGCATACCCAGAACCTCAGCACAGGGATGGTGGGAACCCCTAGTAATGGGCGCAGCAGGTGTGCAGACCTGGGACCTCAGCACAGGGATGGTAGAAACCCCTCATAATGGGAACAGCAGGTGTACAGACCCAGGAATTTAGCACAGGGATGGTGGGAACTCCTCCTAATGGGCAGAGCAGGTGTACAGACCCAGGAACTCAGCACAGGGATGGTGGGAACTTCTCATAATGGGCGCAGCAGGTGTGCAGACCTGGAACCTCAGCACAGGGATGGTGGGAACCCCTAATAATGGGTAAAGCAGGTGGGCAGACCCGGAATCTCAGCACATGGATGGTAGGAACCCCTCATAATGGGCACAGCAGGTGTGCATACCCAGAACCTCAGCACAGGGATGGTGGGAAACCCCTAGTAATGGGCGCAGCAGGTGTGCAGACCTGGGACCTCAGCACAGGGATGGTGGGAAACCCCTCATAATGGGAACAGCAGGTGTACAGACCCAGGAATTTAGCACAGGGATGGTGGGAACTCCTCCTAATGGGCAGAGCAGGTGTACAGACCCAGGAACCAGCACAGGGATGGTGGGAACTTCTCATAATGGGCGCAGCAGGTGTGCACCTGGAACCTCAGCACATGGATGGTAGGAACCCCTCATAATGGGCACAGCAGGTGTGCATTCCCAGAAACCTCAGCACAGGGATGGTGGGGGGAACCCCTCTAATGGGCGCAGCAGGTTGCATTCTTCTCTTCCTTCTTCTTTCACATTCTTCTTCTTTTCATTCTTCTTCATTCTTCTTCATTCTTCTTCATTCTTCTTCTTTTCTTCTTCTTCTTTTCACAGGGATTCTTCTTCATTTCTTCTTCATTCTTCTTCATTCTTCTTTTCATTCTTCTTCTCATTCAGAGCATTCTTCATTCTTCTTCTTTCTTCACTTCTTCTTCTTCTTCTCATTCTTCTTCTTCTTTTCATTCTTCTCATTCTTTCAGCTTTTCATTCTTCTTCATTCACTTCTTCAGGTGTGCAGACTCATTCTTCACAGGGATTCTTCTTCTTAATCTTCTTCTTCTTCTTTTCTTCTTCACAGGGATGGTCTTCTCATTCTTCTTCTTCATTCATTCTTCATCATTCTTCACTTCTCTTTTCATTCTTCTTCTTCTTCTTTTCATTCTTCTTCTTGGGAACTTCTTCTTAATCAGCAGGTGTGCATTCTTCTTTTCTTCTTCTTTTTCACAGGGATGGTCTTCTTCTTCTTTCATTCTTCTTTTCTTCTTTTCTTCTTCTCATAATGGGCTTCAGCAGGTGTGCATTTTTCAGCTTCTTCTTCCCCTTAATTCAGGTGTGCAGACCTGGGACTTCAGCACAGGGATGGTAGAAACTCTCATAATGGGAACAGCAGGTGTACAGACCCAGGAATTTAGCACAGGGATGGTGGGAACTCCTCCTAATGGGCAGCAGCAGCAGTGTACAGACCCAGGAACTCAGCACAGGGATGGTGGGGAACTTCTCATAAATGGGCGCAGCAGGTGTGCCGACCTGGAACCTCAGCACATGGATGGTAGGAACCCCTCATAATGGGCACAGCAGGTGTGCATACCCAGAACCTCAGCACAGGGATGGTGGGAACCCCTAGTAATGGGCGCAGCAGGTGTGCAGACCTGGGACCTCAGCACAGGGATGGTAGAAAC